CGGTCCATAATTCTTTCATCCGGTAATATCTGTTATCTATGTCTCTATCAGAGCTTCCTTCTAGCTATCAATATTGTATCTGTCCGTCAGTTTCTTTATTTGCTGATATTTCAGTCCATTTATCTATCTGTCTCCCCATTTATCTTCCTATCTATCACCTTGAATAAATGATCACGCTGCAAACTCGACCTAGATTCGCCCGCCCACAACATCCATTGCAATATGCTCGTTACGCGGCCTCCCTTCTCTAAGGGCAAAACGCTCGTTAAGTGGCCCTCCCCTCTCTTAAGTGTCCATTCGCTGTGACTAACAATCGTGAAATCTTTGGGTCAATTCCCACAATAGAGACGCATGTGCTTACTACTACATTCCGCCTGGAAGTCGTGTATAGGCCTATTTGTTTAAGGCTTTGGTAAAGTATGTGAGATTTGTGTTTCGGAATGTAAGTGTTTGCAGAAGGGGGTCCGGGTGGAGGGATTTCTTGGCGAATGAAGTAGTACTTATGAATGATATATGTGTGTATACGTGTGTATGTGTGTGTGTATGTGTGTGTGTGTACGTGTGTTCACAATTATGCTGTGTTCTCATATTTATGATAATTACTTTCTTTAGCATGGCCATTGTCATTGTCATGATCATGACTAAAATTATCATTATCATCAACTTCCTGAATTGTCGTTATGATTATTATTTATTTTCTTATTGTTATTGTTATCACCTTCATTCTCGTCGAAATCGTCTTTACCAGACTACCATTTTGATTACACATTATTATTATCATTGATGTTATTCCATTTAGTATTTCAACATAATTTTAAAAGCGATTACTATAATGGAAGTGGTTTTATCGGAATCCTCACCAACAGTGATGCAGGTGTTATGTTGCAGCATCTACACTTAACATTGGTAGTAATAGCATTATCAGCAGTAACATTGGTATTGACAGCAGTTTTAACCGTTATTGCAATAGCAGTAGCAGCAAGTTTATCGGCAGTGACTTCCAGTAGTTACAATGATTCTCGTAGTACTTGCATAGTAACAGCAGTAGTACCGGGAATAGTAATAGTATCGGGAATAGTTATTATGATTATTGCATACTTCTATTTTCAAGCTGTAAATTACATAATACTGACAGACATGATACGTTTAGTGGACCGCCAAATATTATATCGCGAAGAAAAATATTAACCCATTTCAGGATATGTTGTCGTGTGTTTGAATATGCAAGAATTTTTCAGATATTAACACGCTGTCATGTAACCATCTGAGTTGCATTAGTAAGCTGTGGTTCTTTAATATTTTTTGTTTGGTTTTGATAATGTAAAGACATAAGGATCTGAAATTATTTCCTAACTATGTCGAACGTTTTTATATTTTTTAATTCATCTATTTTCCTTCTTTTTTCATTTTCTTTTCTTTGTCTTGTTTTTGTTTTTGATTTTCTTGATCTTTTTCATTACTTGAATAAGTAATGAAAATAATTAAAATGAAGAATGTAACAATAATGGCACAACTATTATTACTAATCATAATGATGATGATGATAATAATAATAAATAACAATGATTATGATGATAATCATATTGATGATGAGATGATGATTGATGATTGATGATGATGATGATGATGATGATGATGATGATGATGATGATGATGATGATGATGCAATTAATTATAGTACCAGCAATAACAGTAATGGCAATAGGAATGATAGTAATAATCATAATGATAATGAAAAGAAAAACGAAAAATGTGGTGATGCTAGTAGTAACTGTACTATTACTACCATTATTGCAAAGAGGATATTGAATATGAAGATAATGATATTAATAATTATGATTATAATGAAGCTACTAATGATAATGATAATGCTGATTATAATCATATTGAAGATAATGATATTGATTATGTAATTATAAAATCAGTGAAACCTTTGAACAGAAATTGGTGAGATAATTTACTAAATGAAATTGAGGTTTAATACTAAAATGATGATTGTAATGGAAAGTGAAAAATGTACTTTCGCAATGACAAAAAGTAAGTAGTATATCAATGTCCATGGTTATATCGTTTTTTTCAGATACACCTACTGCATGTTTCGAGTAGTTGTACTATATACGCACAATCAAAGTGACAAGATTATAACGATTGTTATAGTATAGCAGAGCTGGTAAAACTCTACGGTTACAGCTTGCCGTGTTTCAGTTACAAGACAGTACGGACTACTAATTATCAGTGGCCATCTTGAGACTCTGTCCAGTGTAAATGAATGCTACACTGATGGGTCTCTGCAGTCTAGGAGTAGAGTAGACTTCGCTTATGTTGTGTATAAAGATGGTATTTTGTAGCACTGGGATTGTGGACCAGCAAACTGACTAAGGAGTACTCACACCCACCGAATATTTATTGAATCAAGGTTCTGGAGTCATTTCCTTTGAGCATCTAGCATGAGGTACACAGAACTATGTGACTATTTCATATTATTTGATGTCTTGCGATATGTATGTTGTATCCTAAATTAGGAATGTAATATCACAATATGACCAAATATTCAACTAAAAATGCCTCTCCACGCCTAATTAGTATGTTGGAGTGATAGATAAGTAGATAAAGGACTTTTGCTTTTTTTTTCAATTTAAATTATACAAAATTGGTTATAATAATGTTATACCCATTTTTTAAAATGCAATGCTATCGCCAAATGTATCAAAGCTTGCCCACACATTTGTAATTAGCAGTACTATACTAAAATGAAAAAATCGCTTTATAATATTCACGTCCTTGATTATTTGATAATTTGTACGAATGTGTCAAATAAGAACTTTTAACATCCCGGGAGCTTTAGAAATATGATTTCAGTCAGTTGTAAATTTTATGGTGAGTAATTGGACATACGAAAAAAGTATTTCTACGAAGTCCGTTTTATACCTGTTCAAGCAAAGTTAATCAATATTTTCAAAAGATATATATCTACACACACAAAAATCACTATACAGATCAGCTTATAAATCCGTAAAAAGGATCTAACTCAAAAAAAAAAAAAAAAAAAAAAACGCTTTTGCATCCAATTTCCCTTCCGTGCCAACGAAAACTTCGCCAAAAAGGGGTTGAATATGTTCATATTGAGAGAGAATTGTCGAAAAGTTGCCAATTAAAAGTTCTGCGCCAGAACTGTATTTACCGATTACCTTTTCAGGCGATGTGTATGGCAGGAATTAGGGAGGAGAATGGCTGGGTCGCGCGTGGCTTTTTCTGGCGTTGCCTTTTGTGACTCGCTTTCGGTGCGGGGCGGAGGGCGAAGACGGGGTATAGTGGATGCGGTCATGTGTGCGTGCGTGTGTGAAAAGGAATAAGTATATGGTGTGTGAGTATTAGATATAATTATATCCATCCCATATATATATATATATATATATATATATATATATATATATATATATATATATATATATATATATATATATATATATATATATATATATATATATTATATATATATATATATATATATATTATATATATATATATATATATATATATATATATATATATATAATATATATATATGACACACACACACACACACACACACACACCACACACACACACACACACACACACACACACACACACACACACACAACACACAGTGTATTAATTACTATATATTATATATATTATATATATATATATATATACCTATACATCATTATTGGTGTAATAATTGTTTTCCATCATCATTTAGTGTAATAATGTCTCATTATATTACCATCATTGAGATTTCATTATCCCAATCATATTATGATCACCATTATTACTATGATCAGGACTATTATCACTATCATTCTCATTATTATCATCACCATAATAATCTCATTATTATCCTTTTTCACCATAACAACCCAACAACAACAAGTAACAATCACACAGACTGCGACAGCTTGCCTACCTATGTTGAACCAGCCCTCGGTGCCCCGTCGGCCCTGGCACTGGCGACCGCATTCCGTAGTGCCATCAACACCGTATAAGAAAGCGGCACTGTGGGCTCTGACGTGGCTGGAGGGCGGGAGGGAAGGGATAAGGATTATAAGGATGAGAGTGAAGGGGAGAAGGCGTTGGGGTGGCAGAGTTGTGGTGATGGTGGTTGTGCGGGTGATGGCGGTGTGGTGGAGGTAATGCAATGGTGATGGTGGTTATGGTAGAGAGAGGAAGGAGAGGGAGGGAGGGAGGAGGGAGGGAGGGAGGGAGGGAGGGAGGGAGGGAGGGAAGGGAGGAGAGAGAGAGAGAGAGAGAGAGAGAGGAGAGAGAGAGAGAGAGAGAGAGAGAGAGAGAGAGAGAGAGAGAGAGAGAGAGAGAGAGAGAGAGAGAGAGAGAGACAGACAGACAGAGAGACAGACAGACAGAGAGAGACAGACAGACAGAGAGAGAGAGAGAGAGAGACAGAGAGAGAGAGAGAAAGAAAGAAAGAAAGAAAATGATGGTGAGGCATGATGATAGCGATGATGATTGCTGAGGTATAAGTGAGAGCAGAAGTGGTGGTGAAGATGGTGTGATGGAGATGATCATACTGATGGTGATGTTACAGGAATTTACAGTTTGGTAATTTCCTCCGATTTCAATGAGAATTTGCTCGTGTGTATCTCACAAATTTCATCGAAGGTAGAACACTTCATTAGATAACTCAAAATCAGTTTAGTTATACATTTACCTTAATCATTATATGCATGTTTTCCAAATTCACACAAAAATCTAAAGAATTAGCCAATAAGGATATTTTCTTCACTGGCATTAAAAAAAAACGTTATGCAGTATATGAAGTAAGTATATGATTTTTTTCTAACTTATTAAAACTCTTTACATGTTTTTAAATAGTAAATTGAATATAATATTTCAGATTCCAACACTAGGACGCGCAGGAGGTTTAGGACCCATCAGGACTCACCCTTCGAGTCGAGGACGCCGATGGGGTGGGCGTGCTGGACAGAAGGGACACCCGGAAGTCAGCTGGGGACGTGGGCGGTGGGGACCTGGTAGTGCTGTGGGCGTGATAAGGTGTGTGATTTTAGGGGGTTTAATTTTGGTGATTTGGGTGATAATATGCTGCTAAGTATTGGTATTCTTTTCGGACAAGGAAATAATGTCATTTAAATCTCCTCGCCTTTCTTCTATTCTCCCTCCTCCTTCTTCCTTCCTCCCTTTCATTTCTTCCCCTCCTCCCTTCCCTTTCTCTCCCCCTCCCTCCCCTCCTTCCGTTTCTCTTTCTCTCCCTTCCCTCCCTCCTCCTCCCTTCCCTTTCTCCCTTCCCTTCTCTCTTCTCCCTCTTTCCATCCCTCCCTCCTCCCTCCCCTCCCTTCCCGTCTCTCTTTCCTCCTTCCGTCTAACTCCTACTTTCCCTTTCTCCCTTCCCTCCCCTCTCTCCTTCCCTCCCTCCCTCCCTTTCCATCCTCCCCCTCCCTCTCTCCCTTTCTCCCTCCCCTCCCTCCTCCCTTCCCTTCCCTTCCTTCCCTTCCCCCTCTCACCCATGTCCCGTCCGTGATTCTCCTCCCAGTGGCGGGGTCGTAGATGGCCTTCTCCGACGTGAAGAGACCCTGGCCCATGACGAACCCGCCCTCCACTTGGGCCACGTCGACCATGGGACTCATGCTCGTGCCTGCGTCCTGTAGGATATCCGCGCGGAGGACCTGGGTATGGGAGGAGGGAAGAGGATGGGGGGGGGGATTAGTCAGCAAGAGTGGATACTTTGTTTTTTATCATATATGTTGGTAGGATCTGGATGTTAATGTGAGTATATTCGTTTGTTTGTTTTGAAGGGGGGGGGTAAAATTTGCTTGAAATAAAAATGTGGAGAGAGAGAAAAAAGAGAAAGAGTCCCACTTCGACTACTTACCAAGAACTGGCCAGTGAGGACGTCCAGCTCGACCTCGACACAGCACACTCCAAACACCGGGTAAGACTTGACTTCATTGGGCCCGTTACTGATTATTATATCATATATTATTATTATTATTATTATTATTATTATCATTATTGATCATATTATTATCATTATCTTATTATTATCATCATTTATCATTATTATTATCATCATTATTTTATTATTATTTTTAGGGTTTAGATGACGAGAAATGTTTTTTTCTTTTTTTTTATTTCTTTGTCTTTTGTTTTTTTTTGTTTTGTCGTTTGGTTTGTTTGTCGTTTGATTGTTTGTACTTTTGATGTGTTTGGCGTTTGGGTCGTTTGTTGCTTGGTTGTTTGTATTTATGGGTTTGTTTGTAACTTGGTTTGTTTGTCGTTTGGCGTCTGTTTTTATTTCATCCCTAAGTATTTTAAGAATGTTTCATCATTATGATTCATTTTGACTAAATATTCTATTCGCTGTGACTGAATGTTGTTCGAATGCCTTTTTGGGGAATAGTTTTGGTTTTATTCCGAGCTTTGATATTTAAAAAATATATATAATTGATAATAATAATGTACTTTGAAGGGATATCTTTGAATTTTCTGTTTTCAGGGACGAATTCTGACAATGTGTTTTGAATGAGAAATGTTCTGGGTTACTATTTCTTTGTGTGCGTGCGTGTGTGTGTGTGTGTGTGTGTGTGTGTGTGTGTGTGTGTGTGTGTGTGTGTGTGTGTGTGTGTGTGTGTGTGTGTGTGTGTGTGTGTGTGTGTGTGTGTGTGTGTGTGTGTGTGTGTGTGTGTGTGTGTGTGTGTGTGTGTGTGTGTGTGTGTGTGTGTGTGTGTGTGTGTGTGTGTGTGTGTGTGTGTGTGTGTGTGTGTGTGTGTGTGTGTGTGTGTGTGTGTGTGTGTGTGTGTGCGTGCGTGCGTGAGTGTTCTGGGTGTGTGTGTGTGTGTGTGTGTGTGTGTGTGTGTGTGTGTGTGTGTGTGTGTGTGTGTGTGTGTGTGTGTGTGTGTGTGTGTGTGTGTGTGTGTGTGTGTGTGTGTGTGTGTGTGTGTGTGTGTGTGTGTGTGTGTGTGTGTGTGTGTGTGTGTGTGTGTGTGTGTGTGTGTGTGGTGTGTGTGTGTGTGTGTGGTGTGTGTGTGCGTGCGTGCGTGCGTGCGTGTGCGTGTGTGCGTGCGTGCGCGTGTGTGCGTGCGTGCGTGCGTGTGCGTGTGCATGTTCCGTACGTGTACCTGTATGCGTACGTGCGTGTGCGTATGTAAAAAAAAAAAAACATAAAATTTTTTTTTCACATATATCAAACAATCTATAACACCCTCTCCCCAACACGCCCACCCACCAATATCTCTCGCTTATGTCGACGCCCTCGCTCGCCGCCGCCGCGACCATATATGTCCTCCACGCCCAGGGACTTCTTCACGGTGTCCAGTCGCGCCCGCAGCTTCTTGCAGGCCTCGCTCACGCTCTGTGGGAGGGGCTGCTGTAGGAGGCCTTTGCGGGGTGCCATTGGTTTGCGGTAGTTTCGTTAGGTTTTCGCCATTATTATTATATTATCATTATTATTGTTATCATTATTATTATTATTATTATTATATTATTATTATTATTATTATTATTATTATTATTATTTATCATTATTATTATTATCATTATTATTATTATCATTACTATTATCATTATTATTATTATCATTATCATTAGTAGTAGTAGTAGTATCTTCCTTATAATTATAATCGTTTTCATTATCATTACTATCATTACTATCATAATAATAGTTATCATTACTACTACTATTATAATCATAATCATTACCATCAATATTTTATGATCACTATTATTATCATTATTACTATTATTATCATTATTATCATTATTATTAGTATTAGTATTATTTGTGCTGTCTTCCTTATCATTATAATCGTTTTCATTATCGTTATCACTATCATCATTATTATCATAATAATAGTTATCATTACTATTATTACGAATATAACATTATAATCATAATTATTACCATCAATATTTTATCATTATCATTATTATTAATATTACGATTATTATCATATCATCATCAACATTATCATTATCATAATTATTATCATTATTATTGTTTTACCATCGTCATTTGTAATATTGTTAACATTATCATCATTATTATCATTATTATTATCTTTATCAAGACTACAATATTGATGATAAAAACAAAAGAACAGTAATGAATAAAATAACAATAATGATATTAATAATAATAATGATAATAGGAATAACATTAATGATAATGATATAATAATGATGATAATGATTTCATGATTACTATTATCATTTTCATCATTATCACTATTATCATTTTCATCATTATCACTATTATCATTATTATCATTGTAATCATCAATAATCGACAATAATACTCATAATAACGATAATGATAATAAGTGTCATTATCATTATTTTTATTATTATTATTATCATTATTATTATTATTATTATTATTACTATCATCATTATCATGATACTGATAATAATAATGACAATAATAACAACAATAACAATAACAATAGTAACAATACTAAAACCATCACCAACAACAACAATAATAAAAACAAAATAAAACAAAATAACAACAAAAAAAACAAATCTAAAACAGCAACAGCAAGACCCAACAACGACGGCACCAGCAACAGCCTTCTTTCCCGACGACCCTTACGTAGGCTATGACGTAGGACCCGCGAGCGCCGTTCGTGCCCTCGAGTTGGCGTTGGCATGCGAGGTTGTCGGCTTGACCACCACGACCTCCATGGGGCACCCGAGCTCGTAGGCGACCACTTGCACCGCCTGGAGAGGAGAGGGAGGGAGTGAGGGAAGGAGGAGGGGAAGAAGAGGGAGGGGTGAGGGAAGGAGGGAGGGAGAAAGAGAGGGAGGGAGTGAGGGAGGGAGGGAGAAGGAGAGGGCAGAGAGGGAGAAGGAGAGGGCAGAGAGAGGGGAGGAAGGGATGGAAGAGGGAGAAGGAGGAAGTCGTTTTCATTGCTCCATGAAAGAAAAAAATAAAAAGATAATACAAGTAAAAAAAGGAAATTCTCTACGAAAAACCTCATACCTTCGTGTTCATGCCCTGCCCGAGCTCCGTGCCCCCATGAGACACGGCCACAGTGCCATCCCTTTGGTTGATGGACACCAGGGAGTTCATGGGATAGACGAGAGGGATCACGTGAGGCCACAGCATCGTCATCACCGAAATTCCCTTCTTCTTCCACAGGTGATTCTGCCAAAAAAGGATTTTCGTATCCGTGTTCGTACGAAATATATATACATATATTTTTTCCTTTATTAGGGTTTTCTGTTCGTTTGTGTGTATAAGCCACCATGCTATATTTTATCTAGATTGTATACGCGACGAAATAGATGAGTTTTCATTTCCGAGATGGAGATGGACGCGACTGACCTTGTTGAAGTTGTCGACCATCTGTTTTCGGTTCTCGACGTCGGCGCTGGACATCAGCTGGGTCAGCATGTCGCCAATGATGTTCCTCTCCACCTTGACCTGCTTGGGTATGGCGATGGCGTCTGTGGATCGAAGGGAAAGTCAAAATTGGCGATTTCCTTTGCAAATGCGTGTTGCGTTGAAATAATGTCGGTATGAGGGCCGGTCTGTTAAAGCATATTCATTATACAGACGTGCATATATACAGAAATATATACATATCTGTCAGTCTAGACATGCATATCTCCCGACTATAGATGGATAAGTGTATATCTATCAGACAGATAGACTAATATACATTTATTTTTGGGTATATGCAAGCCCGTATAAATGAATATTCACTGGGTCGGGCCTCGCACAATTTTAACAAACCGTCCGTGACCCTGTGTATGCCTCTACGTGTGTCTTCCATTAGTTAGTTACTATTTTCTTTTTTTCCCCGAGGCTATATGCACTAGACACCCCCCCTCTCTATCTAGCTATCTATCTATATATATCTATATCTCTCTTCTCTCTCTTCTATCTCTATCTCTTCTCTCTCTCTCTCTCTCTCTCTCTCTCTCTCTCTCTCTCTCTCTCTCTCTCTCTCTCTCTCTCTCTCTCTCTCTCTCTCTCTCTCTC